ATTTAGTGAATCATTATCATTTTGATGTAGGTACCTAATTCAAAAATCAAATAAGTATGGTTTCTTAGTTATTAACATATTTATACCTACTGAGAATAACATTCTTAAAAAATGGTTTTACAGAAATATAAAACAGATTTAATAATTTATCTAGTATTTAATATGCATTTTTTTTCGACTATTTTCAGAATGGACTGTTTAAAACGTTTATAAATTAATATTAATTACTTACATTTACAAATCCCACAGAATATAAGTTCGTATCTCACAGAATAATCCCTAAGTACAAAAAAATCTCAATATTTTAAAATATGATCTTTGAGTGTATTTAAATTCCAAAAATCAGATTTCGAATAACTGCACTGTCGAAGTAAATAAGGGTGTGGGCATGTGCTATACTGCTATATTCGGTGAATCACCCTGTATAGTTGCATCGTACATATTTTAGAAACAATTTTAATGGGTATAACTTTAAGAACTCGGTAAGTCGTAGATACTTTATTATGCGAATAATAGTAATTATTATACAATAGATATAATAACAGCACTGTAGATTTAAAAGTTCCTATAATAGTCGTGTAATAATAATTAAAATATAAATCTAACACTTTAAATTAATGTTTTAAAAATATTATTAAACAAGACCATTGAGTAAAAAGGTACACTCGTGAATGCGCGAGACTGTGAGAATACCTAGCTAACTTCTTTAAATACTTATACTATTATACCTACTTTTAATTATAATTAAAACAGAAAAGAAAAAAAGAAAAATTAAAAATAATATGGATAATATTATGTGAAGAATAAATAATTGTCTAAAATAGGTACTCATTTTATTATGATTAAAAATATAATCATAATAGTGCATAATATGTACTATCCATGATAATTTTTTTTAGTCTATTTGTTATTAGCTATAAAATATTATGGTTTTAACTATTATTATATTTCATCTTATTTATTATTTTATGAATGTACATATTTTATTGAAGTTTTTATTTAAATTATAAAAAATTCTTGTAAGCTGTAACTGAGTTTTTTTTGGCTATACAGGGCCGGCATGTTATCAGTAATCTCTAACCATATAACTACAGAAAAAGAGACTACAACCATTGATTATAGAAACCGTCGACAGTATATTCTATAATAATTAATAGTATACTTATAAGTGTTGGCCAGCGATATATTTTTAATAATCGATATCGTATTTATTTTCCTGATATCGGAAAAATACCGAAATCGATTTAAACTTTTACACAATTACAACAAAGTACATTTTATATAATTTAGTTTATTGTACGTAGCTCTATCACGTGTCACATGCAAATAAAATCTATTTGTGCTGGCCCTAGAAGTGAGACACTTAAAGTGGTGTATCCAGAAATATTTAATGCTTAAGACAAATTGATATAATTGGCAAAAAAAATATAAATCATACATAATAACAAAACAAATATATTCCACACTTATAAATAAAATTATACTAAAAATATTAATCAAATTAAATATCTGATATAATTCATATCAAACTTTTCACATATTCCTAAACATTTATAAATGTACTGAAATCAAGCAATAGCAAAGCATTGCCGGGTCAGCAAGTATAATTATAAAATTATTAATTAATAACGAAATCAAATCATTACGAGGTCTCACCATGAGTTAACAACCGGCACTGAATTTAGATTAAATTTTTTAGTGTGTTGAACTATTTCTTTGAAATATATCGCAATATGCTATAATTTACTATAGATAAAAGAAATAAAAGTGAATATTCGTTGACTTTATTATTTCGAGCCGATATCGCGATATTTTCGATATATAATTATTTTTAGATAACAATATCGATATCGTATCTAATTATCGATATTGTTGGCCAACACTATTACCTATACAATTATAATCCAGTGCTTGGAGGGAAATCTTTCGAATGATTTTGTTCAATTTTCAAGAACTTAACGGTAATGAAGTCTTTTTTTCGTACTAAGGAATACATAATAAGAATTTCGTCCATTTTTTGGAGGAACATGAACGTTTTTGTTTTGTTCCTTTTTTCGTTCATTTACTTTTAAATATAAGGAAATGAAATTATTTTTAGATTTTTTTTTTGAAATGTGGTTGATGTAAAAATATTGAGCTATAAAATTAAACCTATATAACGACAACAAACGATAATATTAACAATGTTTACAAAATGTTAAGTCAATCACAGCTAAATAAACAATTTATAACTACAAATCACCCAAATTTAAAATTATTGATGAATGAAAAATGTTCTTTATTTAGGGACGAGGGAAGGAACTAGTTTCTTAATTAAGAGGTTTCCTTACTATTGGATTCTAAGGAAAAAATTGTATAGGCAACTTATTATACATTCAATAATTAGCCTTGTTCTATTAGTCGTAAATGATCGTTAGTAGTGTGTGGTAGTGTTAACCCGCTTAGTAGTAGCACGGAAGATCATGCACGCACCCACACGCACATGTAACAATTTTGTAATCCAGAAAAAATATTTATTTTTCACTCAAACAGACGACAATATTCAAACAATACGTCGCTATGATTACATCGATTTGTATTTTTTTTAAATATTCCTATTGTCCACATCTTGTACGAGGGATCAATCGAGGCACATTTTTATGATTTTAGTTAGTTTATTAATTATTTAAGTTTGAAATTTTGCTAATTTTGAAAATTATAACAACATTTATGGCAATCTCAATTACAACAGTTTAAAATGCGACTCGGCCGTTCCCTTGTATATAACACATATTGCAGTGAATCCTAAAATCTTTTGAGAATAAAAATCATGATAATCGTCGTTACGTATCGTCGAAATAAGAAACAGTAGTTTTTGACAAAAAAAGACATTTATGAGTCCTCTTAAGAGGATGTTAGCTGTACTGTTTGTTTTTTCTCTCTAGCCCAAGCGCAACATAGACAAAACACTTATACAGAATTTATTTTTTTATGTTTCCGATTAGTCTTAAAGTAAATTCACCTATTTCAAAAACGATAAAAATAATATTTTTAAGCAGTGGCGTGGCGTACCAGAGAACTTTCAGAGGCAAGTATACTTTTCGATGACCACCCACCTACGAGCCCATGACCTATTCTTGAACATTGAACACAGGGTTCTTATCTCTCTTAAAAATTATTACTATAAAAAACATTACGTTTATGGGGTGTGGGGAAATGGCCTCTCTAAGGCCATTTTAAAACCATATTATATGATTAATCCTAAAAAATGAGAGGCGGCTGCCTCTCGGTTACAACACTGTTTTTAAGGGATTTACATATAGATTTGTCTTAATATATTGCCTCGAAACAATTTAAACATCTTTTAAACGTGAGTCTGAGAGAAAACAAATATTGCGCTGATATCCTGCCAAGAACAAAAAAACGGTTTCGCCCCTATTTAACAAAATGAACATTGATGTAAACTAACTACTTTTTCAAATGAACTTTCCAGACACACTATAATCTATGGTATAACTATAATTTTACCTACCAAAAAGTTTTTATATTATTTAATCAACAATGCGTCTGTACGATAATAATTGCGCTATCTAGGTTTGAACAACTATTCCAAGTGTTTAGTAAATTGCCTATATTGCATACCTTAAAAACAGTAGGTATCGAATCTTTCAAAATATGATCAGTGATCACATAGGTTATTTAGGTTTTATTGCCACCAATTTTCTCTTCCAGTTATAAATCGCTGCATCATAAAATGATTTATTATTTAGAGAAGTAAACAAATGGCATCAAACATTAAAACATTATATTTTCAAAATGTAATTCACTAACCTTACCAACAATATTTGTACATGAACATTTTGAGTGAATTTTATTTTCCATTTTTCAATGAGCCATGTGTACATAAAACTGGTAAATAAAAAAACCTGACAAAGTTAAGAGTGTAACAAATATTTAAGTTTTCATTAAAAATGCTCGCTGGTTACGAATAATAGTTGATGTCAATACAAGCAATTTTTTTTTTTATTTGGGGTGTATGATTAACAAATCAATTATTTTTTTGGAAATAAGGGAATATTTAATTTGTTAGAACTTAGAATAAATAATATTCTGGAATATTTTATGAATTGTGAAAAAAATAAAATATTTTAATTTTCAAATATTATTGTTATTTCAATTTTGAGATCTGGGTAGGTACTTTAACAAATTTATTTTTATCATTTTTTCATATAAAATATTATTCTTAGCTTTTTTATCACAATATTTTGGCAGTAGGTAGATATGTGAAATTTGATACAAAAAACCAACAATATGGTGCAAAGAGAAAAATCTGTAAAATTGCATTTTCTCAAACTTATTGTCACTATAGGGAGGTTAGTTCTAAATGCACAAAGTGCCATCGAATCAATTTAACTGACACCATCGTGTGTAAGGGTTAATACTTAAGCCAAACTAAAGAATAGTAGCATTTAAATTTGAATATTTTAGTTAGTATGTTATACACAATACACTCACAGCTTAGTTGTAGTTCAATTGTTTAAAATTAAAGAATTATATAATCTATAGAATTATTATTATTTTAATTTACTTATGGACTTGTTATATTTTATACAAAACACTGAAATATAGGAACCATTAAGAATGAAATAAATAATATTAAGAGTATGTAGAGATATGTTGTAGTTAGTGCATTTTTAATTTATATCTTAAAAAAAAAGGATAATTTACCGTGGACAGGTTAGGTAAAAATATAAATACAAAAAACATATTTCTAAATAACCATAAAAAAGATAATATTAAAAAAAAATCGTAAGAACGAGTAACGACAAAAAAAAAATTGTATAATATAAATGTAAGATTTATGATTGTTTATGAATTAATAAAATATAAAACTTAAAAGGTTACATAAATAAACTTAATAAATAATTATTTCACCCATTATTTAGTTTGAATTATTATTTAATAATACAATTTTTGATATATATATAAAAATATATTAATTTTAATGTTATGTTGAGTAATTTTTTATAATAAAGTAGTATATTAACTTTATAAAGTTACACTTCATCCTTCTCTTTTGCACCGTGCTTCAAAATACGTGTGAATTCTATGTAGTTGAACATACCTTTGGAAATGGGAGCTTCCCGATACATTTCATCAACCTAAAAAATAAAATCTGTTAATCCAGAAAATCATACTTCAAAATTGTTCGTATCTCTTGACTGACAAACAATCAGTCTAAGTGGACTAGCCTACCACATACTTCATAAGTAATTTTAAAACATATAGTGAAATATGTTTCTATTATACCATTTGAAAACGAGATAAAGAACTTGTTTCAATTGAAACTCAATGTAGGATTATTGATCAATGGTAAACAACAATTGTGTGTAATATTTAAATCAAATAGATTATAAGAAAAAATGAACATACAGAGTGTCCCGTGTGGATATACCCATTAGCCGTAGAGGGGGACAAATACCGGTTTTTGGCTGTTTTACCTATTAACTAAAATATCAGGAGATTAATAGAACTAAAATGTTGAAATGTCAATATCTTCAGAAAAATGAACTCTACAAAATGGCTATCTTCAATTTTTTTTTAAAATAATTATAAAAAAATTATATTTTTTAACTTTTTTACCAAAACATAGAAAAAATTAAAACATGAATTATTTGTAGTGCTTATCTCTGTGAGTCTTAATAAAAAAACCAGAATTATGATATCTACATTATTTCAGGAGATATGGCAATGAGTAAATCCTCACGGGACACCCTATATATCAGATTTTGAATAAAAACGCAACCAATATTATTATAAATATAACACGAGCAACTTTGTGGACTTCTGGTTTTAAACCATTAAATGGTTCAAATTATTATGCAGTTTTAGACATTCATCTATATTTCTAAATAATCAATTTCTATTCACGGATTCATATAGTCAACATAATTAAGCTGTTAACGCAGTATCCCATATAATTTGCATGCATGCGGAGAAAAAACAAGACAGCTTGTATTCACTGCATGCAGGCAATGCACTACGGCAAAACAACATGGTCAGATATAAATTGCATGGACTCACGCACGACAGCTAGGATATTACGTAACTGTGATGAAAAGCTATTACTAGAGAAAAAAAAATAAGACAACACTGTCCAACAATATTTTTTTAGGTACCTACATCACTAGTCCTTAATTATTAGACTTTGTTGTTGAAAGTAAGGAGTAGCTTTTTAATAATATTTCATGAATGCTTAAATGTACAATATATTAATAATTTTCTTAAAAACTGTACCTAATTAATAATTTAAATAATAATACATACGTCTTCATCTGTGAACCTATCTCCCATAGTAACTAAAAGTTCTCTTAGACGTTCTTCATTGATTACGCCTTCATTGTTTTCGTCAAAACAACCAAAGGCGTTTTTTATTACATCTTCAGGATCTGTACCTTGAAGCCTTTCTCCAAATAATGTCAAAAACATTGTGAAATTAATTGGGCCAGGCGCATCATTCATCATACCTTCCAAATAATCATCAGTCGGATCTTTGCCTAAACAATTATTTCATATTCATATAATATTTGTATTTTGTTTAATATTTAGAATAAGACTAATAAATGTACCTAAAGAAGCTAGCATATCATGTAAATCTTCTTTGTCGATAAATCCGTCCCGATTTTGATCTATCAAATTAAATGCTTCCTTAAACTCTTGTATTTGTGCTTGCCCAAACATGGCAAACACATTTGACGTGGCGCGCTGCGCTCGTTTCTTTGTGGTTGCCCTCCTCACTGCCGTTTTCCGTGACATGCTTGATTCGCTCTAAAATAATGATAAATCTTAAATTAATACAAACTCATGAAAATTGTGGAAATTTAAGTTACTGATTTTCCCATTTTTCTAGTTGAAACAAACAATTATTTAGTTTTACACAATTTTAAAATTTAAAAGATTTTGCATTTTTAATTATTCACTTATTTAATGATTATAATACATCTTATTAGCATTTTACTATTCCTCAAATTGTTCTCAAAAATATTGACTTACTAATCACATGAGTCATAAATAGGTATTTCTGATAAAAAAATATGAATGATTCATCGACATTCTTATAGGTACTTATTATTTATTAAGTAATAATATTAGAAAATATTATGTAATAAATGTATACTACTTATTTCTCTAATACAACTTTTGTTTATGCCATTTATGGTCATCACTAAATAACAACAATTTTGACCTCTTTAATGTCCATTATTTAGTACAAAACTTAATCCTGGAGCACACACTTCATGGTCTAAAATATCAAGCTTTAACAAAATTGTTCATTGACTTAAGAATTCAAAATATTTAACTAATCTAACCTAAGTACCTTCTAATTAGTTGATAAGCTAAAATAAGATACAACTCTCAATCGTTTGCAATCTGATCAATCAGTAATATACACTATAATAAGGTCTAAGAGATTGTGTGCTTAATAAACTGACACATTTTATAAAAAAATTAATATTATGAAAACTCAATTATGGATTATTTTTAAACGGTGCTTCTTAATAATTCTTGGCTGATAAATTATATTGATCGTAATAATAATAATTATTATTATTATTATTAATTTATCGAGTTTCATTGAAATATTTTAATATGTGGTATGCGTGAAGAACTATAGAAGGATTTAAATGCCCAAGGGTCATATTTTATTGAATTCTCACTTCCTTTGTACCCAATTAAAAAACTAATATTTTAATGAAATTGCATTAAAAACATATCCATTTCAACATATTTTTATGATAAATTTACTAAAATAAAATATGAAGACTCAAGTGATCGTCTAAAAAAATCTTACTCTCGCTATTACATATTTTTCCTATTATTTTTATAGACTGATAAATAAAAACAAAGAATATAATAGTGCAATGTTTAGAAACGCATTGTCATCTATTCACAATGGGTATGAGAAAATATTTTTTATAAATTATTAGACATGAACTTAATATTATATTCTTGTTCCTTTTGAAATACCTTTGACAAAAGCATTAACACTGTTATGGAAATTATTTTTTGGCTAGATACCTATTAACAATCAGTAAAATGGAATGTAGTTAAACGATGATAAAAAAATTATATAAATGTCAACATTGTGACTAATTGTTGACATTAAAGTAAGTATTATCATCCTAAAGATATTTGACAATTATTTTTCTCTATGATTGTGATTCAGAAAGGTATTAGGTACGTCGGTTAACGAAAATTTCAAGGACGAAATGTGTTCGAATTTTTTTAGCTTGTCACATACGAGACAACGACATATCGTCTCAGAACTTACTGACGTAGGACAAACTCGTCGAAGAGAAACCATTGGAAACATTCGTCAAATGATAGTAATTAAACATTTATGTAGGCCAACAAAAAAAAATTTAAAAACGTTATGAATATTGAGCAGTGTGTAGTTATCAACAACACATGGGTTAAAGGTGTTTTCGCGCGGCATACTCACAATTTTGAAGTCTAAAAAGAAACTGATTGAAAGAAAAAATGGTTTTTCGTTGGGCGTTCAGTCGGCGGGGGCCACGTCTTGGTGTAGTGGTAGCGAGCGTTTGACGTACGGAATGCGAATGAGTCCGTCGAACGATGGCCGTGGAGCTAGCGAATGGACGCGGCGGCGTTGAGTCACGGTAACGATGGGCGGGCGGGCGGTGGTCGATTTCTCGCCATAGATGATGGTATTCCGTGATATTATTGTTTTTTTTTTATACACACACTTCGATGACGATGCGATAAGAGGACGCGGCCGCGGTGTTATCGCTCGCGGTGGTGACCGATCGGGGCCGACCGTGGCCGACTTCGCCACCGGGCGTTTTCACTCCTAATGTGGACACACTGAATGGTGAATTCATTATTTTTTTTGTCCCGTTTTCCGTGTGTTTTGCCGATATTCTGTTCTGCCTCCCTGGTATTTACTACATAATAATTGTTCAATAAACCTCGACACAACTTACTCTGACGCATAGTATCAATTTCGATTTGTTTTCCAACTCAAGTCGTCCAGACCCGGCACCACACGTGCGATGGACTGATCGGTGTTTGGCGATTTTGTTTTTTTATTTCATATGCAAGAAGCGGTGCGCCATCAAGCAAACGACACACCACCTCGAGAACTGCCTACAGACGATAGTTTGGCGCGTGTTTGGATTTGGACGTCTACGACCACTCGCAGACTTTCGCCATGATAACGGTAAGTGAAAATCCGCGATCCGTCAAAATCTGTCGATGGTTGTTAAACGCCGCGTGGGCGGGGAAAGGAGCTCGTGTGGATAAAAAATCGTACCAAAAAAAATCTCGTCCGCCGCCGACGCCGGTACGAAACGCCGAACGCGTATTTTGCCTTATATGGAAACGGCGTCGTGAAAGTTCGACTCGGCATGTTCCAAATGATACTTTATATGGTCATGTTCAGACATTTTATACCTCGTTAGGCTCCGACATCGCCGGGTCCACTCGTGCCGCGGCCGCCGTCCTTCCCCTCCCCGTCTTACGCATCGAAACCGAGACCGTTGTTTCTGGAGCCCGGCGCTATTGATTTTTTGCCTTCGCGGGGTCCAAATAACGTGGTGCTAGTGTAACATTGACCTTGACCTTCCCGACGTCAAAAACTGCTACTGTACCGAGACTCCCGCTGTCCTGGAATATTCATGTTGTTGTTCTTAACCTAAGTACCCTGATGTTTCATGTTCTGGGTCTACAATTTCAGCTCATTCACCCACCATTATACCTATTATTATGAACACATTTTAAATACAAATTTTTAGGTATACTTTGACAGTTTTATGAAATTCTACTTAAATACCTACACTAAATTTTAAATTTTAAAAATATTTATTTTACATTTTTTTTTTTCATAGATGTTTTGCTAATGAATAAGCGATGAAACAAATAGTTAAAAATATAAAATATTACTAAAATTATTTTTTTTAATACTAATAATATATTGTTAAATTACTGTTAAATTAATCATCTTATATAATAAATACATTTCTAAAAGTCATTAAATAGTTATTAAGGCAGTGGTTCGCGACCTTTTTGGATTCATGTCTTCCTTATCCACAGAATCCAATACTACATCTCCTAACACTAAAATATTAATTAATTTGAGCTGTACATTTTAAAAGAAAAATATAAGCCGTTTACTGTAAACAATTATTGTGTTGTACATTAATACAATTTTATTTGAAAAATTCTCATTTTTTATTCTATTCCAAAAGATGTTAAAGATTTTGGGTCACTCGTACACTCGTTCCATGGTTGCAGATTGAGAACCACTGTAATAAGGTGAAACATTGTTTATCTTAATATAAGTATTTCTCTTAAGTATTTTTTTACTTCACAGTTAACATACGTGTAGTTGAATATTTTAAACATCTTTTGGTATTGACTAGTTTTGTTATTTATTACACATTTACACACTTGTAAGTTATAGTCCTTGTAATTTTTTCTTAATATTATTCTGCTATCAATATGTATCTCGTATTCCCATAGAATACCTGTCTTCTGTAAAACAAAATTTAAGTATCAAATTTTTCAACTAAATGGTCCTAATATAATCCTCAACAGCTTTATAGCCGCCCCCCCCCCTTAAGAAATGTATGAAAAGTCTCCAATTCCTTCTTCAATATTAACTACCTATGTAAAAAATCAGTGAACATCATACTCTTTTAGGTAGGTACCTAGTTATATACATAGTGTATTAGGTATTAAATAAAATTTAGGTACATTTATATTTTGGTATGCACTGGCTGTTTATTACTTAAGATGTTAGAATTCTAAAAATAGATGAAAATGTGGTCAATTACATTTGCCACTTGGTAGTTTGTGTAGACTCATCATTCTAGTATTTTAGACTTTAGTGAATCAAACTATTATTGTCTCGCACCTGTTTTATGTTCCAGAGAATTATACTTATTTCTTTCAAATCATCGAATTAGTCCTTTGCCCTTCTCACTAAAATCTGAAATGATGCATCTGATAATATTCTAGGTATTAATCAAAGTATGAAATATTAAAATCGACATCACAAATAAAATATTTGCAAATAATTTATTATTCATAATTTATATCTATATAATAAAATAAATCCTCATTAACTTAGGCACTAGGTGGGTATTAGAATACTTAATATAAATATTGTATTGATATTTTTAATTTATATTCCTGTTATGTAGGTAGGTATTGTATAAAATATGTATTTCTGTTTAATAATTTACTGTTTATTTTATCTGGTATTAATTTATTTGCTTAGTATGACTATTACCTATATAGGATGTGTGAGTTTGAAGCTCGAGAGTATTCATTACAAATCCACTTCTTTATAGGCACGATTTAAAGTGAATGTAGTGTTATGTAGACATGTAGTATGTTCTCAACAAATATAAAATATTGTATGTTATGTTATTGTATTTTATACTACTTGTTTATTTAACCTATTTACTAGCAGGTTTACATTACAACTGTCATTTCTTAATTGTTAAAAAAGTTTGATTTCCCCCTACCATGATTAAAATGGATTTTTTACTTATGCTCCTAATTAAAGATTTCAATTTAACTTGTTATTAGACGAATATTTGTGATGAAATACATTCTAAATTCTAGGAATTTTCATTTGTTTTAGTTACCTATATACAAATCTGATATAGCTAAACCCACATTAGACAAAATCATATGTGATTTCAGTAGGTTTATTAAATATTATATGATATAGAGGAGTGGTCTGTATAAACTATAAAGGAAATAAACTATTGAGAGTCCTTGAGCCTAATATGTTACTATAATCACCAACTAAATGCTCTAAATATGGACTCACAATCGTCCTTTCTTATTGTCTCAGAATAATTTAAATGATAAATATTTGCACGAAAAATTTGGAAAGGTAAAACCATAATTTTATTTAAAAAAATATATTGAGTATTAAGTCAATTATAAATAATAAATAATTCAAAATTTACCTTACCTATACAATATACCCAATGATTCTTATTTCAACACTGAGCGTTTATTAATTAAGAAAGTACCTAGGTATTTTTTTGTTTTTGGAAATCCAAGATAGGTTCATGCAGTTTTAACGCTTTTAATTGGTCTTATTTTTACCACCCCGCTATCATCCTAGATAATTAATGTTCACTTTTATTGATTTATTTTTTATTTAAAATCAATTAACTTTATCTACTCTATTAATTTGTATTGTTTTCTGAAAAGTAGTGACTTTTTTCTTCAACCAGCACACCATACATAATTATGATTAAATTCGACCCTAGTAATGTTTGTTCAATAGAAAGTTTACTCCACCAGGAATATTACTTTGTAATTTGTATGTTGTATTCAGTAACGACCCTTGTAGTTCTTGAACTCTATTATCTTCTTTTTATATATATAACATGCACCATGCTTTTAGCTAATCTCTTCTTGATCCCAACATATGTAGTTGATAAGTAAGCTTATGAGATTATAAAATGAACTATGCTATGATCCTCCTCCTCCCTTTTTAAACTATCTTATACATGTTAATGTATTCTGGGTGCCGATCCATTCTTGAGTATTTAATTTGATATATTATATTCTGTTTTTATTCTTGTAATTAACAGATTTAATAATACGCTTAACAAATCTTTTAATTCATGGAATTATATTAAATAATTAAGTATTATTGAATATTTAGAATAGAAAAAAACATTAATTATCATTTTCATTTCTTTTCATATTCATTGTACTTAATAATCTAATTCAACTAAGAACAACTAAGTCAAATTATTTCCTTTAATTTTCTTTATTGTACATTAAAATACTCAACTTGGTAGGTAGGTAATACAGATTATATAGATTATATTATAAATATCTACCATTAAGATTATTTATATAGAGACCTTTCATTCATTATTATATATTTCTGACAAAATATTTAAGGTTTATTTTATTCCATTAACCATAATAATGATATACATGTAGTTATAAAATTAAAATAGAAATTTGAACTAACCAAAAATTGATCACAAGATTACAAAAAATACTTCAAAAACACTTATATTAATAATTATGACTTATTTAACATAACTCACAGCTCACTTTTTTACAAATAAAATAATAATTACATATTTTTATAAACAATATATTTTAAGTTTATTCATATTTTATTTGATCAACTTAAACTTTTACATAGGTACACAAACGACCTGAGTTTTTTTATTCACCATTCTTTTAAATGTGTTACATATATTTTGCCACATAAATAGTATAACTAACTTTGTACATTAAATATGAATTTATATTTACAATAATAAAAAATATTACAATTATCTTAAACCATTAATTTGGAACATTATCGAATAGCTACACCGTTGATTGTTACAGTGGCCCCAGAGTGGTCTGATTTTGCTTTAGAGACTGGTGATGGCTCATAGTAGCTGTTTGGTTCATCATATGTATAGTCTGTTACCGAATCGTAGATATGATTCTGTACATCACTTAAAGAAGCGTATGACATGACTGCTGTATTCTGTTCTTCTTTACGTACTGCTCCTTCTACGTTTTCCGTATTTTTTACTGGAGTTGGCCGTTTTCTAATGAAACACAATACAATGGTTAATAATTGTAGAAATATTATTTATATCATATTCTAATATATTAATTTTTAAAATACTCACAGTCTTAAATAAATTAAGGCAAGAAGTATGACTAGGAATAAAACAAAGCCGCCTCCAACAGTAACAGCTAAACCTAAGGTTCTGGTATCACTTATTGCTGCACTTATCGCTACAAAAAATAAATGTATTATTATTAAACCTTGAACAATGGCATACAGTTATCGTTAACTTACATTGGCAATATGGTTGTTCTCCTGACCACTGAGCGTCGTCCAAACATTTTCTCATGTAAGGACCTATTCTTTGGAAATGAGGTACACAGTGGTATTCTGCCGCGCTGTTGTATGTCGTGGTGTCGTTCATTATAATGACTCTACCGTTTTCAATTGGACCCGGGTGCTTACAGTCGACCACTAAAATTTAAAAAATATCATAATTATTAGGGAACAGCTCGTTGTTGTAATTATTATTATTTATTATTTACTTTGACACGTTGGTGGTCTCCCGCTCCACGACCCTTTTGGCAAACAATGTCTCGTTGTGTTGTCGATCGTGAAGTATCCTCGAGGACACGTGTATTCCGCTGTCCCTCCGACTGTTCTCGACGCTACCCTGACCAAGAGACTGTTTTCGCTCTTGAGCTCGTCGCAATTTATTTCTTTAAATTCAGTGAAACACGTAAGTTTAGTTTTTTGGATTTGATTATGTTTATTTTATAATTTATATCTCACCTTGACATTTTGGTGTTTCCGAACTCCAGGTACCGTTTTCAAGACACAGTCTTCTGCCGTGTCCGTCGAGTTGGAAGTGATCGTCACACTCGTACAACACCGCCGAACCGTAATACGTAACGTTAGATACCAAATTGAATTTTCCGTTGTCGATACTCTCGGGTGTTCCACAGTCGACGTCTAAAAATTGAATTTAAAATATATACTGAGTACCTATTTTAAACTTATTGTTATTACTTATAGTAATAACTAATAACTAATAATATTTTAGACTTACAAACGCATTGTGGTATTACGCCTGTCCACGAACCGGTGTCGTCACAATTGCTTATCGGTTCGCCGACGACTTTGTATCCTCGTTCGCAGCGGTATTTGACCAGAGCGCCGATCTTGTACGTAGACGTTGAAACAGCATCAGACGAAGTCCTTATAAAAGTTCGTCCGTATAAACGATCGTTACCCGTTACCGATAGGACACTGTGTTCTGGTAAAATTGGTTCCGGGCATCTTATTTCTTTAAAAAAAAAACCAAAAAATAAATTATGTAAAATAAATTCCAACAAAACACCTCGCCGTAGTTCCTGTTCCCCCTCGATTATTTCGACAAAATAATAATAATTATAGTGTGTCTGTTACCTTCGCATTTCGGAGCGGTCCCACTCCACGCTTGATTTTCAAGACAGCGTCGTATCGCTGTTCCGGTCAATCTGTAGTTATTGCTGCAACTATATTTGACCTCACTGTCGAGGTGTGTGGAGTCGTTGGAATAGTGTAACGTACCGTAAACTGGTGGCGTGAGTTTACCACAATCAATGTCTGCGTTAAACACAATATATTTTATTATAATTATTTTAACATACTTATAGATATAAGACTTAAATGCGTGTCACGGATAATATGTGTACCAATATAATATAATATAATAGGTAGGTACAATGAATTTCACTTAATATGTGATCATCGGTTATTAAAATCTACCGTTTATCGGTTATTGGTAACCATCGGTTAATAGAGTCAAACCACTCAAACCTTGACCTGCCCTATCTTGGATCATTGATCACATTATTCGAAACTAGCGGTTGTCAATAAAGGCGAGGTTTTGTGTGCATAAATATATGAATTATTGTGTGTTTATACTCACATTGACATTCCGGCGGTGTCGTACTCCATTCGCCGTTGTTGTTGCACTGCAACGTGGTCGTGCCGATCAATTTGTGACCCGGGTCGCAGTGGTATTCGATGCTCGAGTGGATATTAAAGTCGTATCCAACTACGTAACCTCCGGTAGGCACTTCGGGCTCCTGACAAGTGATCACTGTCGGACCAAAAAGACCGCAAACGATTTTTCTTATTAGTAATTTTTTGACATAAAAACTACTCGAGCGATCGATTATTATTATATAATCTGTATACTTACGTTGGCACGTGGGTGGGTCAGCGGACCATTTCGCTTCTTTGGTACAGATCTGTCGGCGGCTAGTGTGGGGCTGGAGCCAGTAGTCTTGTTCGCAAGTGTACTCGACGATGCTACCGTGCGTTGTTGAACCGTTAACTAGCGAAGCCTGCCCGTTTTCGATGATTTGCGGTGGTCCACAGTCCACAAACCGGCACACCAACGGTTTGCCGGACCATTCACCTCCAAGTCCGCATTTTAGCTCCTTCATAAATAATAATAAATATACCATAAAATCTCAGTAAAAACAGTATGACATGTACCACGACGGCTACTACACTGACCTGTTGTCCGCCGACGGCCACAAATCCCTGATGACACGAATAGACGGCCACGGATCCGGCTTTGCGACCAGTTGCGGTGACGGAAGCTCCTTGCACTTCGGGTGGGTCTCCGCACCAGTCAACTGCAGTCAACAGTTCAAATATAAATAACTTAAATCGTGTGAATTTATATAGATATCCCAATGTTATTTTTAACTCATTTAAAAACCTTTATAATCCCAACTGTGTATTCAATATTCATACATTCAGAAATAATACAATAATATATTTCTTAATGATTAATTAATTTAGTTGAAAAAATGTTGTTGCTTGATAAAAAAAAACTGCGTTAAGTTAATAATTAAAATTCAACTTAGCCCTATTATAACACGTTAATGTTGCGGCATCGCCCACTCTGTGTAATTATATGTACGTACATAGACATTGTGGAGTGCGTCCGCTCCATTTTCCATCTTCCGCGCACGTCCTCTTGGCGTCGCCATTCGACAGGCTGTAATTCTGGTTGCAAGTATATTTGGCGGTCGATTTGAACGTCGTTGTACCGTTGTCTTGCAGCGTAATAGTGCCGTTTTCTATACCAGTCAATGGTCCACAATCGACGTCTATATGAGTATATTATAAATACATACCGTTGGTAAATCGTGATACACAATAACCTATCAGATGTTCGGTTTTTTTGGGCTGTGGGTCACCGTCATACTTACATTTGCACGTCGGCGCCGTCCCGGTCCAAAACCCGTTAGACCCGCACGTCCTCTTGGCCGAACCCTGTGTGGCATGCCCTTCTGGACAGACGTACTCAATCACCGACGACACCTTAAATGTATACGGACTTGCTATCGTACTGTTCACCTTGATGTCGGGACTCCCACAAGTGGTCGGTGCTGCGCGTAAAAAAATCGTCAAAATTAATTTTTAAAAACTGTTATTGTCGGTGTGAGGAATCTCTACGGATTAGGTTAAGTTATGCGTTGTATCGACACACTCACTGTATTGACAAATCCAATGTAAATAATCCAAATTGCATCCCACATCGTTCCACAGCCATTCGCGGCCTCCTTCGAGCACCACGCAATTCTGTTCACCGTTGTAGTTATTCGGTTGATCTTTTCCCCACGTAGGTTTCGTTATCACGTCACCTGCGGCAGATAAATCGACATGGTATAATATTATTAGATATTTATTCGTTCCGTCCCGATCGTAGTAATATTCATGTAATTTCTAACATGATTTTATATATTCTTACCGTTGACCCATTTCCACGTCCTGGACGTAAGGCCGGGTTCTTTTTGCGCCCCGATCCAGATCAACTGGGTCTTGAGTCGTGATTTCCGCCGCTCGAGCTCTGCGGCCAGAAACGTGGACGCCGACCCCCGGAAACCGTGCACGATGTCGCCACCGGTCGCCTGACATTTTTGTCGGGCATCGGCGAAAGACGCTCCCCGGTTCACGTTGAACTCATAGCACTTATTGTCGAAAACTGCCACATCTGTTTGCGCGGACGAACTGCTCGGCGCGCAGCGATCCAAAGAAAATTCTGTAAATCGGTCCAACATAACATTATGGCGTCAAATTACAGTCAAAGTTAACATTTTTTATCCACCCTGCATTAATACAATGTACCCATAAACTAACCTTCGGTGGAATATACTTCAACTTCACACAGGGATAGTGATCCCTCGACGCCCACCAGTTGTAGGAATACATGCTGTCCAACGATTTGTCTCGCGCAGCTGAGGATTTTCGTCGTGCCTTCCTCTATATAAAGTCGTATAATTAGACCGATCACTCAATGAGAATTGGTTGATTTATAGTATGTGAGTTACCCTCTCTATTCTATAGTGTTAGATCTCAGAAAAACTTACCGATCGTTCCTGGAAACCAAGAACACAGTGGGTTCCTCTGCAATTCCGCACTGCTATTCCCAACCCTTATTTCTATGTCCTGCAAAGGTTGATGACCTGTATGTACGATATAAATTTCATTAATTAATTTTTAAATCAATAATGAATGATTAATGATTATAATTTATATTTATACCCGCACTAATAAATAAATACATAATATTACATAAAAATTTGTGAATCACTTTCGATTGTCCACATTTAGCAGAAAGGTCGTTGGGTATGGGCTGGGCGGGAGGAGGGTGTTGAAATAAATTACAATTATCGTCAATTTCGATCTGAAGTATAAATACGAGTAAGTGCTCAACGGTTGGTTTGAAAAAAAAACTATTTATATATTTCCGAGAATTATTGTTAGTATCAAGGTTTGATGTATATAGTTGGGTACAAAGTCGACCTGACCGTGCGTATTTTTTCCCCATTATAATTATTATATTATGATGTTGTATATACAAAGCACGCGCAAAAAAAAAAAATAATAATTAAATTGGGTGTGGCGTGCAAATGATCCACATAGTCATGTTCCTCTATTGCACTATGCTGTCTGGTGAAGGGCAAATATGTCCTTCGCTAGTTACATTTTGTTGGTTAGAATACGAACAAAAACGTTTAACAGTGTACGAGTTGTGGAAAAAAAGTCGTGGGCGATACAGCAGCAGCGCGACGCCGTCAGGTTCATTACCATCGTCATTCGTCACTCGAAACTAGTTTGTGTGTAAAAATATGAGGTACCATTTTGCCGTCCCATAATAACCATACACAGTATCTCCTACACAGATTTGTTTTTTTTTATTGTTATTGTGTTATTCTTTTGATAACTTCACACGTCGCACTCGTATAAAAACTATAACTACACACACCACGTTGGTATATTCACTGCTGCAACCTTCCGGCGCGCGCGGTCAAAAGATCGTATCAACGTTTCGGATTTAGACCGAAAATTAGGTTAGGTACGCGTCGAAACTCGAACTCGGGGTCCTTGGATTTTCTAAACGTATACAGACCAAACTCGACCGACGTAATCCGACGATAATCGTGTCGGTCGACTTTTGCGTTTGAATGAACGACTTACACACAATGTTAATTCGTGTGTTAAACCGATTGAAAACAATAATTATTATTCTACTATTATATTAATTTTTAACTGTCCGCAGACCGAGGTCTCGAAGACCGCCATCAGCGCGGCCGCGGCCGGCATCGCGGGCCTGTGCTTCGTCGGCTACTGCATCTACTTCGACCGGAAGCGCCGCAGCGACCCGCACTTCAAGTCGAACTTGCGCAAAAAGCGGCTGTTGGCCAAGGAACACGAGCTGGCCGCGCGGGCCGCCAAGTCGGCGTTCCCAGACTTCACCGACCAGCAGGCCGTGCAGCGGTTCTTCCTGCAGGAGGTTCAGATGGGCGAGTCGTACTTGGAACAAGGTGACGCGGCCCGGGGAGTCGAGCACCTGGCCAACGCGGTTGTGGTGTGCGGCCAGCCCACCGAGCTGCTCAACGTTTTGCAGCGCACGCTGCCCGACCCCGTGTTCGATATGCTCATCAAGAAGCTGCCGGAGCTGGGCAAGAACCTGATGCGCCGCCAGCCACCGCCGCCACAGCAGCAGCCGCCGTCGTCGTCATTCGGCGGCCCGGTCATCAGCGAGCTGGACGTGTCCGACGTCGAATAGTGTTTTTTTGTCGATTATTAATAAGTCGTTTCGTCGTTACGATGGTAATATTATAATATTATTATGTTGTAATGCGCGTGTGCAGTGTACAATATCGTATAGAGACGCCCTCGCCCTGCCAAGGGGGAGCCACGCACTGCCTCCCTACACCATCACGACACCACCCTGCTCGTTTTCGTGTAATATTGTAATTTGATTATTTTTTTTTTCAATAATAAATTTCATAGATGCAAAAAATATAGACTGTCGCTGTAGAAAGGCGATTTTATTTATATACGACGACGACGACGACGACTGTGCAGCCTGCGGTATTTTAATACTCGATAAATAAAAATAGTAATAATAATAATTTAAGTATTTTTAGCCCTACAACAACAATCGGTCGTTTGTCGCGAGTAGTTTCGCCGCTGACAGATTATACACCGTATACATTAAGTTCGGGGGCGGTAGTGGGGTTCAAGCACTATTTTAGGGTGACAGTTTTCGAGTAATCGTATTTTTTATTTTTCATATCGTACAAATTAAAATAATGTATAAAATCGAACGTCGCCTACTGTCACTGAAATTATTATCATTCTGTACAGGTATGCGATGTTCCGTTACAAACATTATATTAAATAAAAATATTCACGAAAAACTGCGTCTTNAAAAACTGCGTTAAGTTAATAATTAAAATTCAACTTAGCCCTATTATAACACGTTAATGTTGCGGCATCGCCCACTCTGTGTAATTATATGTACGTACATAGACATTGTGGAGTGCGTCCGCTCCATTTTCCATCTTCCGCGCACGTCCTCTTGGCGTCGCCATTCGACAGGCTGTAATTCTGGTTGCAAGTATATTTGGCGGTCGATTTGAACGTCGTTGTACCGTTGTCTTGCAGCGTAATAGTGCCGTTTTCTATACCAGTCAATGGTCCACAATCGACGTCTATATGAGTATATTATAAATACATACCGTTGGTAAATCGTGATACACAATAACCTATCAGATGTTCGGTTTTTTTGGGCTGTGGGTCACCGTCATACTTACATTTGCACGTCGGCGCCGTCCCGGTCCAAAACCCGTTAGACCCGCACGTCCTCTTGGCCGAACCCTGTGTGGCATGCCCTTCTGGACAGACGTACTCAATCACCGACGACACCTTAAATGTATACGGACTTGCTATCGTACTGTTCACCTTGATGTCGGGACTCCCACAAGTGGTCGGTGCTGCGCGTAAAAAAATCGTCAAAATTAATTTTTAAAAACTGTTATTGTCGGTGTGAGGAATCTCTACGGATTAGGTTAAGTTATGCGTTGTATCGACACACTCACTGTATTGACAAATCCAATGTAAATAATCCAAATTGCATCCCACATCGTTCCACAGCCATTCGCGGCCTCCTTCGAGCACCACGCAATTCTGTTCACCGTTGTAGTTATTCGGTTGATCTTTTCCCCACGTAGGTTTCGTTATCACGTCACCTGCGGCAGATAAATCGACATGGTATAATATTATTAGATATTTATTCGTTCCGTCCCGATCGTAGTAATATTCATGTAATTTCTAACATGATTTTATATATTCTTACCGTTGACCCATTTCCACGTCCTGGACGTAAGGCCGGGTTCTTTTTGCGCCCCGATCCAGATCAACTGGGTCTTGAGTCGTGATTTCCGCCGCTCGAGCTCTGCGGCCAGAAACGTGGACGCCGACCCCCGGAAACCGTGCACGATGTCGCCACCGGTCGCCTGACATTTTTGTCGGGCATCGGCGAAAGACGCTCCCCGGTTCACGTTGAACTCATAGCACTTATTGTCGAAAACTGCCACATCTGTTTGCGCGGACGAACTGCTCGGCGCGCAGCGATCCAAAGAAAATTCTGTAAATCGGTCCAACATAACATTATGGCGTCAAATTACAGTCAAAGTTAACATTTTTTATCCACCCTGCATTAATACAATGTACCCATAAACTAACCTTCGGTGGAATATACTTCAACTTCACACAGGGATAGTGATCCCTCGACGCCCACCAGTTGTAGGAATACATGCTGTCCAACGATTTGTCTCGCGCAGCTGAGGATTTTCGTCGTGCCTTCCTCTATATAAAGTCGTATAATTAGACCGATCACTCAATGAGAATTGGTTGATTTATAGTATGTGAGTTACCCTCTCTATTCTATAGTGTTAGATCTCAGAAAAACTTACCGATCGTTCCTGGAAACCAAGAACACAGTGGGTTCCTCTGCAATTCCGCACTGCTATTCCCAACCCTTATTTCTATGTCCTGCAAAGGTTGATGACCTGTATGTACGATATAAATTTCATTAATTAATTTTTAAATCAATAATGAATGATTAATGATTATAATTTATATTTATACCCGCACTAATAAATAAATACATAATATTACATAAAAATTTGTGAATCACTTTCGATTGTCCACATTTAGCAGAAAGGTCGTTGGGTATGGGCTGGGCGGGAGGAGGGTGTTGAAATAAATTACAATTATCGTCAATTTCGATCTGAAGTATAAATACGAGTAAGTGCTCAACGGTTGGTTTGAAAAAAAAACTATTTATATATTTCCGAGAATTATTGTTAGTATCAAGGTTTGATGTATATAGTTGGGTACAAAGTCGACCTGACCGTGCGTATTTTTTCCCCATTATAATTATTATATTATGATGTTGTATATACAAAGCACGCGCAAAAAAAAAAAATAATAATTAAATTGGGTGTGGCGTGCAAATGATCCACATAGTCATGTTCCTCTATTGCACTATGCTGTCTGGTGAAGGGCAAATATGTCCTTCGCTAGTTACATTTTGTTGGTTAGAATACGAACAAAAACGTTTAACAGTGTACGAGTTGTGGAAAAAAAGTCGTGGGCGATACAGCAGCAGCGCGACGCCGTCAGGTTCATTACCATCGTCATTCGTCACTCGAAACTAGTTTGTGTGTAAAAATATGAGGTACCATTTTGCCGTCCCATAATAACCATACACAGTATCTCCTACACAGATTTGTTTTTTTTATTGTTATTGTGTTATTCTTTTGATAACTTCACACGTCGCACTCGTATAAAAACTATAACTACACACACCACGTTGGTATATTCACTGCTGCAACCTTCCGGCGCGCGCGGTCAAAAGATCGTATCAACGTTTCGGATTTAGACCGAAAATTAGGTTAGGTACGCGTCGAAACTCGAACTCGGGGTCCTTGGATTTTCTAAACGTATACAGACCAAACTCGACCGACGTAATCCGACGATAATCGTGTCGGTCGACTTTTGCGTTTGAATGAACGACTTACACACAATGTTAATTCGTGTGTTAAACCGATTGAAAACAATAATTATTATTCTACTATTATATTAATTTTTAACTGTCCGCAGACCGAGGTCTCGAAGACCGCCATCAGCGCGGCCGCGGCCGGCATCGCGGGCCTGTGCTTCGTCGGCTACTGCATCTACTTCGACCGGAAGCGCCGCAGCGACCCGCACTTCAAGTCGAACTTGCGCAAAAAGCGGCTGTTGGCCAAGGAACACGAGCTGGCCGCGCGGGCCGCCAAGTCGGCGTTCCCAGACTTCACCGACCAGCAGGCCGTGCAGCGGTTCTTCCTGCAGGAGGTTCAGATGGGCGAGTCGTACTTGGAACAAGGTGACGCGGCCCGGGGAGTCGAGCACCTGGCCAACGCGGTTGTGGTGTGCGGCCAGCCCACCGAGCTGCTCAACGTTTTGCAGCGCACGCTGCCCGACCCCGTGTTCGATATGCTCATCAAGAAGCTGCCGGAGCTGGGCAAGAACCTGATGCGCCGCCAGCCACCGCCGCCACAGCAGCAGCCGCCGTCGTCGTCATTCGGCGGCCCGGTCATCAGCGAGCTGGACGTGTCCGACGTCGAATAGTGTTTTTTTGTCGATTATTAATAAGTCGTTTCGTCGTTACGATGGTAATATTATAATATTATTATGTTGTAATGCGCGTGTGCAGTGTACAATATCGTATAGAGACGCCCTCGCCCTGCCAAGGGGGAGCCACGCACTGCCTCCCTACACCATCACGACACCACCCTGCTCGTTTTCGTGTAATATTGTAATTTGATTATTTTTTTTTTCAATAATAAATTTCATAGATGCAAAAAATATAGACTGTCGCTGTAGAAAGGCGATTTTATTTATATACGACGACGACGACGACGACTGTGCAGCCTGCGGTATTTTAATACTCGATAAATAAAAATAGTAATAATAATAATTTAAGTATTTTTAGCCCTACAACAACAATCGGTCGTTTGTCGCGAGTAGTTTCGCCGCTGACAGATTATACACCGTATACATTAAGTTCGGGGGCGGTAGTGGGGTTCAAGCACTATTTTAGGGTGACAGTTTTCGAGTAATCGTATTTTTTATTTTTCATATCGTACAAATTAAAATAATGTATAAAATCGAACGTCGCCTACTGTCACTGAAATTATTATCATTCTGTACAGGTATGCGATGTTCCGTTACAAACATTATATTAAATAAAAATATTCACGAAAAACTGCGTCTTGTTGTCGTTATTACACTGTTATAATGTTATTATTATTATTATTATTTTTATTGCGAATACGCGGCTAACCTAGAAAATAATACGTTTTGCCGTTTGTATAGGTAAAAGAAAAATTGATAAAATATATATTATATATTATATAGTTATAGCCCGTATGCATGTGTGCACGCGGGGTAGTTTAGATGTGAAATGAATTCGGACGGTTATTTTTTTATTAGATTCGCTCGTCCACGGGCCGTTGTTTATATTTTGATCGAGAAATATTAAAAGCAATAATAATATTATATTATACGCCATTTTTTTGTAATTTAAATAAAAATTTACATGAAATCATATTGTTGTTTTTTTGTTAGGAATTCGGGCCCGACGAAGTATATTTAAAATATAAATTATTCGTAGGTTAGCAAGGACTATATAGGTACTTATAGGTCTATCGGTATAGGTGTTTCAAATGTGAATACCAAAATGTTGTATTTTTTACTACTTAATATATATTATATTATTGAGCCGGTCGCATCATAAAGTAATCTAATTTTTATATTATGAGCTTTACAAGCCTCTTTTTAGTCAGATCAGATACGATGACGATGAGTTATCTGTTTGGATAGACAAATGTTTATTGATTAAATAAAATCCTATATCCTATTGGTATGTTATGGTAGTACATATGTATAATATTTATGTTTTCTGAAAAACTTTATATTTTATTCATAGGCGTACATTAAGTTATAAATTTGAGGGGCCTCACGTTTTTAACCAAAAGATTGTTTGAATTGTATTCTAAAAAATCTAACATATTTTCTACATTTATGAAACTATTAATAAAAATGAAATAGTTTAAAGAGTGTTATAACAATATTAATAAGATATACTATATAAGTATAATGGCTCTTTAAAATATATATATATATATATAAAAATATTATGATAATAAATCCATCAAGTGTTAAATATTTTTAATTGAAATTAGATAGAATTATTAATTTAGTACAACGTGAGTACAAAATATCAAATATTTTGTAATTTAAATAAATAAAAATATTTCATAAAATTTGTGTAATAAAATTGTATATAAACGTTTGGATTAATTAAGTACCTAATTCAAACTTTGTGTGAGCTATATTGTACAGTAAGTTAAAAATACTGCTATTTTCCAAAGTGTAATGCAAAAAAAACCAGCCGTTGTTGTTGTATGCAGTTGGAGCTTAAAAAGTGCACTTACAATGGTAAATATGGGCTTAAAAATTTCACCGTAAGTATTTTTGGCATCCCCTCATGCATGTTAGTAGTGATTATGTATAAGTACTCACCGCAACATCCTCTGGTCGTGATGGACACCGCCCGAACCGGGTACGGTTGCAGCAGGTCCACCGACCACCAAGGTGACGGTTCCTTGAGTGTTTCCGTACACCTCCGACCATCGTGCACTGTCGTTGGGTCGCCGTCGTTGGCGTTTCCCGGACTTCCTCCCCTGGCCGTCGTCGACTGGTTAGTCGGCTTATGCACAGCCACGTTGGTACCTATATAAATCCGAAAACGGACGTGTTATATGTACGTTCATAATAACACATAAGCGTAGGGCAATATACCTAGTGTCTAAAATATTTTATTATTTTGTTTTTTAATACGAGTTAGGAGAAATTTTGGAGAATTATTATTGTATTACTAAAGAAAGGATTCGCCAGAAATTAAAATCTAATTACTATTTGTTGGTTAGCAACATTTTAAATATCATTGATTTCCTGTTTCTTAATAGTTTTGAGATACCGATTAATGTATGTATAAAAGTCAAATTGCTAAGTTTCAGTAATGTCTGAGGTTAAGAAAAACGTCGAAGAGAAACTTTGAACACTATACATAGACGATAGTGCGAGAAATTCAGTCGTTTGATAGAACTCTCGTCGGCTCTCCTACAAAAGGTTATGAAATACAAAAAACAAAACATCGACCTAGTTAAATAGATATCTGTATAGTCGATATTATTATGATATCTTGGTTATGTAAACAATTATAACTATTGTTTACTGCGGGCTTTACAATTAAAACGTAATGATTTATGCTTCTCACGAGACGTAATTGTTGTTATAAATTAAATCGTTTGCTTAATCCATCCACTCTATGGACTAGAAGACAATTCCCTACCTAATATAATATCAAACAGTAAATACCTGCCCACATATATTTCCTGTAAAAAAATATAAAAATATGATGTGGTTTGGATAATCCTGTTAGCTGTTATTCAGGTAGGTACATATATATTGTACCGTCTACTTTGTCAAAACATGGTAAGTGGACGATGACGATGAAACAAATAAGGATAAAAAATACTTTTTATAAAGATTAAAACATAGAGTGCCTTTTATATTAGGACACTCCAACGTGGAATCAACTACTTACTGATCCCCTATACTTCAACTAAATCAAAAAAATGATATTATTTGAATATATTATAGATAATACAGTCTAGATGATCCATTAAAAAGCAGAAATTAAAGTAGAAAAAATTGTTGGGTTTAATAACTTCAAAGTTGTAGAAATGTAGAATACACCGAATGTGAAAAGAAACCTGCTACCTGCTTAACGGAGAGTTGACTAGAAAATATCCCGGTGTATCCGAATTAGTTGCGAATTATGTTAAAAGCATTTCCCATTTTATAAGGACCTATAAGAGTGTCTAGTGTCTACATAATAATATGCAGCTTTTTAAAAATGTTTCATTCTGCTTTTATACATTATATTTCTTTACTTATAGTTTTATTATTTGTCTGTACTTCACAGTTTAATTTCGAAGTTTTTTTTGTTTCAATTTGAACGTCTTTATCGGGAACCAATAATTTGACTTTTTGCACCTATCAACAGTGGCAGACTCAGTGGCACCATATACCATTCTTCCAAAATTAAAGCATACCCCCTTTTTTTCGTCATAGTTTGAATGCCTATGTATATTTTATGTATATATGTAAGTGTATAAGAGTGAATTGTTAATAAATTATAAAAATTGGAAGTTTAAAGTTGGAATAGCTTTTGTCCTGGTGTGCATTTCAATTATGATACTCATAAATCATAATTTTAATGCATCAGCCATGCGTTTGTGATTTTTGAGGTTGGTCAATGAGACGCCGAAAAAACAGGTGTGCCAAAATCCACCCTGCCGACCCCAAATGATCCCTTCTCCTATTTCTTCCTATCTTGGAATACGTCTATGACTTATGTTATATATACTGGAAAAAACCAAAAAAAATGTTGAGATTGTTTATTTGGGTAACCATGTTTATTCCATTATTTTGTGGCTTTACACTACTTCATAAAAAAAACTTAGCATTTTTCGCTTACTAAGTTTGGTCAAGTTATAATTATTTCGCTTGAAGATACAACCATGATGTACCTAATTGAAGATCGGAGTTACCAATAATATTATATAGTTATATGTATATTAAGTGTAGCATGTAACCAAATCTGTCTTTTATGATATATTGATGGGAAGTTTAAATGTTAATAATAACAATGATTTCTAATGCATATCCAGATATCAGATGTATATATAGATACTATTACCACTAAGTGTATACATTATCATATTCAAACATGACTTACCACAAAACGGCAGATCCCCGGTCCAGGCGCCGTTTGAGGAACAAGTTATCGATTCGGACCTGTGGGACGATAAAAAATTAAAACTTGGATTCCTATTTTACGTTTGTTTATGGTAAACTGCAACCTTAGGCCCTATATTTTAGGGTGTTTATCTTAAAGCTATCTTATATTATCTAATGATGCAAGAAACTATACAATATTAGAGGTATCATTGTAACGCCGTCATTGTGCTGGTTAATTGTTGAAAAAAAACATATTTTTATATTAAATTGATAAAATGTGTTTTTTCCTTAACGGTTTTTCACAACAATATAAAAGACAATCCACGTTTTTAACTCACACGATGTACATAGTTTTAATTAAAAATAAAAACTGCAGCTCATTTGCTATTGTTATATATTTCAAAATATTCCGTGCTTCTGAATATGAAATTTTAAGCGGTCAATAAAAAAAATAACTAAAAATTATAGAGTGCTATCATACCTAATACATACATGAAAATTGTATAAGCGAAAAATCTTTTTTGTTTTAAAAAAATCACCTTGCAAATGTAGGTGAGTACCTACAATAATATACGTGTCGCGTTTGACAATGGTAAAAAAAAATATATGTCAGTTTAATAAAATATGATATTTACCCGAATAGTCTGTAACCGTCGTCACAAACGAACGTGGCCTTAGCCCCGTCCCGGACGAGTTTGGCGTTGACGGGCACTGGAGGATGACCGCAAACGTTTTCTAAACAAAACAAACAAAAAATTATGAAAAACGTTATTAATTTCCATATTGTTATGGACTCGTAGGGGCGTAATATATACACAGTACACACACACACACACACACACACACACACAGTAATAATGACATGATATACTTTACATAGCCAATTGTATTTTACGATTAATGAATATAGCCGCAGCAAATATTTGGTACACTTAATCTACTTTATTCTACTTTCTCGTGCCGATGACCGTCGCGGTAATTATTACACACGTACATAGAGCGTCTTAATCCCGCGTGTGGATTTTTTGTTATTTTTGAAATTTTGTTAACGAAGAAAAAAATTTCTCTCCGCGAGACAACATTGCAGGATATAATACATGTATATATATGTATACAGAAACGCCGGCGCTCGGATCGAAGAACGAGTGTGAACTTAAAAATTATAATATATATATATATATATATAATATTATTATCATATAGACTGCTGCACATGTGAAATTGTAATGTTTATTTTAATCCCATAACATACCTACACGGTTTTCATATATATTATATTATATTCCTACTCAATAATATTATACTGTTGTATTTTAAACATAATACGTAGGTAATATCGCGTTGCAGCCCATATTTCCGATCGCTGCAGGTGTACATATCACGATATTTTTATTGATACACTATATTGTAGAGCGAACCTATGAAATGATATTTTATTATTTACAGAAAGGTAAACATTATTGTAATATATGAAACCTCGCAAGAGCATATGACTGCGATATTTTGTGAAAACCGACGTCGCAAAATATTAATCGTAACACGTATTATTAAAATACAGGCGATCGAATTTCGCAACGATCCGACATACGATAGGTGGCGACGATAGCGTGCAAATACTCGAACAAAATTCAATATCGCCGCACGATTTTAACGGTGAATTTCGTTGCTCGTTATAGGGTGCTTGTACTTAGTGTCGTGCACACACCTGTACATGCGACCTACCTGTTCGCCTACCTGTACATACACAACGATCGTGACAGAATATAATATTCATGTAAATGTATGCCAAACGAACGGATTTTTTCTCAGCTGAAACTCGAGTGTTTCGAGAAATAATCTTTACGTAACTATACTTAATATATTATTGCTGCGTATCTATTGGTGTCAAATCATAACCGTGTCCGGTGTGTTACCATTAAAGGCGCGTATTCTTATGAACATTTTGACGGGGGCGGGTGGGCTCTGTTTTTCTCACTGGGGGGAATATGTTTAAGAGGTCGTAATACTTGCATTACAACTGATCAAATGTCATATAACTATATTATATATATACGTGGTGATTTTTCACGCAGATATCATTCCTTTGCGGCAGGCCTTAAGAAGAAAACTATTAATTTTGGTTAGAAAAACAATAATGATAATATACCTCTAGATTAGACAATATGAAAAAAATTTCAATTGCCAAACAACCAGTGATGGCTAATTTTTTCTAGTGATAGTGTATACAAGTACCTATTTTACTTTATTTGTATTTAATACAATTTGTTTGAAAAAAAAAAAACGTTTCTATATAGTTCCTTCAAGGGCCTCGGGGAAATCCTCAAGTCTCCGTAGTCGCTTATCCTTGTGCGCATGAATGACACGCAGTAAAATAAATACAGGTTAGAATGTTAGATTGACGCTGTCGTTGAACACGATATAGTATTTGTTTGATGTGAAAGATGTTTAGATGTGCACATCAGATGATATTATGTGTAGGACGACGTGAAATTTGTTAATTTTCTCTTGAGCAATATTTTTAAAAGACATTTTTTTTTCAGACGAGATATTTTAGCATTTTCCCATGATTTTAGGCTACAGGTCCACATTAGAATTTAGAAGGGTTTACATACATGGTAGTTTAATGATTAATAATTAGCGTTTTTGTTGTTAACGGGTGTGTGTCGTAAACACATATCTACCGCAGTATACGCAGCCTCCGGATTGAGGGTTCGACTCACCGAGATTTTAAATTTCTACCGGCTCTCAACAATACTTATCCAATTCATTAAATTAAGTTACTTATAGTATACTCGTACGTAGCTATATTATTAAAAAAAAAAAAAAAACGCAGTGTATAAGTCCAGTACTAGATAATATATGCAATTTTTACACATTTCGTTTTATACTCATCACTCATCAGTCATCATGACCTTAGTATGAGTAGTATGACCATGATTTTTAATCAATTTTCTATGACTTAATAAATTTAAAATTAGATTTGCTTTTAGATATAATAATATATTTATATGATTAGGTGTATAGCCGTATAGGTATATGGATGTACAGTGTACACGTATAAATATATTTATATAATACAAAAAAATAAAATAAAATATGTAATATATTTACACAATACACTATTTTTAAGCGGTCCACCGAGATTTTCTCGGTAGGTCGCCGGTACAATGTGGGCCTGGGTGTACGCATATTGGTCTGGAAATCAGTGGTTATATAATATTATAATGTCTTACCAATTTTCAGGGGTAGGTGGTAATTCGATCCCGAGATGACTGATTATCAGTATTATGTCAGATCACTCGGATTTTCTGCGCACGCGAACTCGGCTGCAGTGCCCTGAGGTCGCCGGGCACCCATTATTGCAACGTGTACGCCTATTGTACGTACCGTAAACAAGACGACGTGCTATCGTATCGCAGCACGATAATAGACTATATTGTTGCGTCTATAATAACGATTTCGAATGAAACGTTTTAATTTTTTTAAACGGTACGGAACTCGCGACAGCACAAGCGTTTAAGACCGAAGCACGTTTTGTATAATGTATACGACAATTAAACGCACGCTGCACTCTAATAGCGGGTAGGCCCCTATAATACTTCGTAATATTATTATGTACGGGTAGATGATGTTGTACGCACATTGTCACGTCTCCGGTTCTTATAATTATTATAATATTCACTGTCTCGGAGTCTGCCATTGTACCTCTATATATTACATAACACTGCTGCAGAGCATAATATAATAATGACAATATAATCGTAGTCGTTAGTGTGCCTAATACCTGTACTTGTTATAATAGGAGGTACCTATTCAATTATATTTTTCGGTAGCGATTTTATTGTCGCAGAAACGAGTTTAAACGCTCTCGCAACGTGTGCGACGTTTTTGTTGGCAAATTATATTTTTTCTTCGTTGTAATAATTATGAATTTCATCGTGATCATTAAATGTGATCGTCGAAATCACTGCTGTTATTGAAATAATGAAATCAGACATTTGAAATTTGAATACAATTCGCCATTTGGTACATTGAAATTTAGATATATTTTATAGATCGTATTTTTTATAATAAGACTGCGTACCTATAGGATTTTTTTGTTTACCTTAATACGGCGCGTAAATTGCATCAATCGCGTGTAATCCCCTGTAAATTATGGGAAAATTATAGCTGTTATGGTTACCGATGGATTATTTTGACGTTTAACTCTCTCATCTCTCATACAATATAGTTAAATATAAATATATACCTATATAAATAATTTCGATCAACTTTTGATTTTTTCGACATCAAAAATCATTTGTTTTTATAACAATATTGGGGGCTTCTGATTTAATAATAACAATGAAAACCACCCGTGTATGGTTTATTTCATAGTCTACTACAGAAGCAAAATATTTTCATAAAATGGTCCACGAATAGATCTATAGTAATGTATGTGTATACATGTATCGATGTATCATGTTTCATGTATCTACTAGTTTTCTATTCAAGTATAACTTTAGATAGGCATAATAATAGGTAACTATCTAAATTTGAAATGCTACTTTCATTTGATAAACGATTATATATTACTATAGTTAAACGACCGTAGTAAGTACGTCATCTCATTTTACAAAAACGTTGTGATTCAGATTATGAACTTCAAACTGAAATGCAGTACATTTCTTTTGAAAAGCACGCATAAACACAACTTAAATGGAGCAACAATTAATACATATATTGTAGTGATTAATGTCTTTTGTACGAAAGCGACAGATATACAATACGATGGTAATTGTACGTATATATTGTTATTTCGATATATTATGAACATTATAACAGGTATACTGTATACATTATGTCCATGGATGCCGACCGCGGCCACCGTCGAGCGTTGCGAATAATGGTTTTCCGTATACTTATGTGTGCAGCAATAAAAATAATAATAACATACGAGTTCCTATACACTTGCCTACGAAAAGTGAAAATTCTCTCCGTCGTTTTTAATCGGATTTAAACGGATAAAACGCGCATAATGTAACCGACGCTCGACTTTTTATTATTGTATTATTATCGTGTCGATATTGACCCCGCCGCCGCGTCCGTCCGTCCATCAAGTATACGATCTATGTCCACACGTACCTACATCGTATTATATTGTACGATATAGTTAATGTTTGTACGCTTTAATATTTTATGGTTGCCGACGCGCGGGCGTTACAAATACGTAATTTTTTTATGTATATCTTATACCTGCGAATATAATAATTATTAAACTTGTAATATGAAAAGATATGAAAATATACAATTTATAAAGGTGTGCCCTTATCTTGTATATAACTGTACCGCAAAACCCCATGATGGTTGGTTGTATTTCGGTCACATAACGTTACCGCTTTTGCACACGCTGCCTGACGATTTAAAAATGTCAAATAATATAATTTAACGTACTCGAGCAAAGTTGCCGAGCGCAAACACCGACTCTGTTTGTATGAAAACATGATATACGTATTATTTTAAAGGATCGACCGCCGGGAAAATGTAAAACGGTATCGATTGCAGGGACGACACATTGCCCATAATATTTTCCGTGACGTCACTGACTGTGGAAAAGTCTTTTTATTTTATCAGTTAACAATTTTTTTTTTTTAAATCTTAGAAGATTTCGACGGAAACGTATTGATTTGATGATTGTCACCAGACTTGACGAGGTAAATTCATTTAAATTAATATAATACACATATTACGGATAA